GGAAAACACGGCTTATAGAAAACTCAGGGAGCCGTCCTACTTCTGCAGGCATGGCCAGCTCAGAAAAGCCACGTATGGCAAGAGTGCCAGGGTGACCCCTTGGTAATCACACCTCTGTGTAATCTCCTCTCCTTGGACATAGGCAGAACCTACGACTTGACCCTAACTAGGAAAGACCGCCCAGATAAAGATGCTTTTCTGTGTAATTCAGACTCTAATGAAAGGTAGGTTAGGGGAGGGGGTTTATCTAAACAGAAGAGCCCTTCAACAGCTGGCTTAGAGCTCAGAGTGGAGGTTGCAGGGACTCAGTCTCTTCTTCTGGCCATGAATTCTGTGCCTCAGACCAATGAGCTCTGCCAATCGCCTGAGTTCTGTCCCCCCTCCCCCGCCAGTTATGTCCCGGAATGAGAATGCACCCCAGTCCCCACTTTGACTGCAGCCTTGGGAGATCACCACCGAGGAGCCCACTAAACCGTGCCCAGCTTCTGAAGGCCTGAAACTGTAAGCTAATACCTGGACATTATTTTAAGACACAGTATGGCCACGTGTCACTTGCCATAAAGAACGAACACACTCTTAAAGGTCTCTGACCTGCTAGTCCTTTATCTGTAGGACAGATAATGAGAATTTTCACATCAGAGCATCGTTTTAAAGGTCATAAATTAGACACCCTTTCTTAAAACTCAAATGTCAAAAGTTGTTGAAAGTCAGACCTTGGAACGGGTGTCACCTCAAGGTAACTAACCTGGGCCTCTGGGCCCGGCGGGGGCACATTCCCTCTCTGCTTGGGTGCACGAAGGTAGCTGCACAGTCGAGTTCTTGGGTCCTGCGGGTGCTCTCTCCTGCCCTGACGCCAGCTTGGTGGCCTTCACGTGAAGGACAATTGTACCTACCCGGTCACACTCAGAGACTGCAGAGATGCCTGCTCAGAGGCAGCGCTGGGGCAAGGCACAGGTGCCGGGTCGGGCTCCTGTGAGCCCTTTGACAAGCCCTTCCTACCTGCTGGGCTTGCTTCTTCTTGTGCACCATGAGGACACTGAGCTGTGTCAAGGCTCCAGGGCGTCAGGGCCTTGCGGGGGCAAGGACACCTGACCTCGGGACTCCCTACGGGCCCTCGGGCACAGGCCCTAGAGAGCCTGGGGCCTTGGTTGATTTCCTTCTACTTTCTAGTTCTCCATTTCTCACTCTGCAAATGGGACCCGCCTGCCTCCCATGTTAACGTAAGCTTAGCAGCAGAAAGCGACCCTGTTTACCATCTCACAGTTTCTGATGTTCACGTGTCCAGGCTAAGCTTGGCTGGAATCTCAGCTTAGGACCTCATCAGCCTAAAAAAACTCAGGTGTCACCCAGGCTTCCTTCCTTTCCAAAGTTCCAAGACTTCCTCTATGCTCCTGGCTGTGGGAAGAACGATTTTCTTGGCGTGTTGTGGGAGCTGAGGGAGTGACCCCTCAAGGCTGCCTGCTATTTCTGTCAACGTGCACATCGGAGGCAACCCAGGGTGCTGGCCATGCCTTCCAGTTTCTCAGATCACTTTGGGCTCTGACTCCAGCCACCCTTTAGAAGCATCCTCCTGATGAGTTCAGGTGCACTCAGACCCAAGGCGGGGATTATCCCAGGTGTGCCCACCAGGGACTGGTAAACTGGGGGACTATGTTCGAATCCTGCTCCCCCTCTCCCCAGAAGCCTCACACAGTTTTCATATTAAATGGGTTAATATAAGTAGAGAACATAAAACATCGGCTGACACAGGGCCATGTGTCCACGACTGGAACTCCCATCTCTTAACTCCATGGCGAATGCATTTGGGACCCGTCTTGTTTTTTTTTTTTTTTTTTTGTCTTATCACAACCTGCCTTATCTCATGGTTAGGTTTCATCTTCTTCCCTCCCTCTCTGGACTGGAAGCGCATTGAAGACCATATCCTCCTATGTTCATCCTCCAAGATGGGCCTCAACTCCTTGAGGTGGTCATATCCTGTACACTTCCCTTCCTTGAAGAATAGCACTGGCCTGGGTAACCAATAGGATATGGCAGAAATAATAGGATGTGACTTCTGAGACTAGGTCATAAAAGAGGATGTGGCTTTGCCGGATTGTCTCCAGAATCATCACGCTGGGAACCGACCAACCCATCAAGAGGATGCCTCAGCTGGGCAAGGAGAGGCATGGGAAGGGACTGAGGCCTCCTGCCGGGAATCAGCACCATGTGAGGGAACCAGCTTGGACCTTCTGATGCTTTCAGATGCCTGAATCCCTAGCCAACACCTTGACTGCAATCTCAAGAGAGACTCCAGGCCAGAATTACTCAGCTAAGCCACTCCTCAGTCCTTGGCCTACAGCAAAGCTGAGAAATAAGTGTATATCATTTGAAGCCACAGAGTATTGGGGTCATTTGTTACACAGCAACAGATAGTTCACCTAGCTCTCAGTACCTACTTGCCAAACTTGGAGAATACTGAACACACATTAACAACAGTGACGCTTCCCGTTGCTGTGCTGGCCACTGTTCTGAATGCTGGGGACACAGAGATGAGCAAGGTATTTGTGACTGTTGTTAGGGGCTTTAATCCCAGAAGGAGGGCATTGGCTAACAAGCATCCAGACAGACAGATGGAGAGACAGTGAAGGATTTTAGAAGAAGATGAGTCCGAGGATGGGACGGAGACTAAAGGGAGCGCCATGAGGGTACAGAGCTGCCCGCTGTGTTTATGTTTTGGTGATGCAAGGACAGCCAGACTGGGACTACACGATGGAGCCACAGGGACCAGCAAGCACAGCAGCTCTCACGCTGGAATTAACCGGAAGGACAGTCATGAGCTAACAGGGACTAGATGATGAATGAGTCATGGCCAATTAATAAACACTGGAAGCCTCCGCAGGCTCTTGCTCACAGACTCCTTCAGTAGGAGGCAATCTTTTGGCTCCCACAGGGCCAGCTACTGAGAGGAAGATTTACAAACTCCAGTGGTAAGGAGCACCAGGTGGAAAACCGAGACAGGCAGGCTGAAATGAAGGCAAGGGGAGAGGCGGGCACTGGGGCGAGCTGGCACCCACAAGAAGTGGCCACTGCTCAGCTCCAGCTCCCTGTTGCCAACAAGAAGCCAGGCCCAGTGTCTTCAGAGCTTCTGAGAAGTGAGAACTCCCAGATTTTTATGTGAAATTGGATTTTCATTATGTGGCTACTGATTGCCAAAACCTTTAGCCTGAGCACCTGCATAATGGCATTCTTACATGAATGATGTTTGCCCAAGAGCTGCTAATGGGTCTGCAAGGTGTCCTGGAGAGCTATCCCCAGCCTCTGGGGGCCTCAGCCTGGGTTTAGCCAAGGTGGTCTGCGGAAGTTGGGAACCCTCAAGAGGCCCCTTGCTTCCCGCCCTCCCAACACTTGCTGGGGTCCTCATGCCGCTTGCAAACTTCAACTTTTCACACAGAGGTGATTTAGCCCTCCTCCTTAGCCATATGATTCCTGGAGGGAGTAACAGCCCGTTCCCAATGTCCCTACCTTCCAGAACTTCACAGGCAGATACCCTTTGGTCCGGTCAGTCTGCATTCTCCCTCTTTCTGAGATCTGCTTCCTTTGTTGGACCATTTCTACCCATGCTGCTCATTAGAGGAGTCCTTCTTTTGGTCAGGCTGTTTCCACTTGGGCCTGCCTCACCAGAGCTCTGCATGACCAATGCAATAGAACATGCATCAAAAATGATGGGCGCTGGGGAAGATGAGATGTGGTTGGAGCAGCCTGAAGTCCTGCTCCTTGGACAGGACCAGCATCATTAGAAATGCAGACTCTCAGGTCCCTTCCCAGGGCTACTGGGTACCATACACAGAGCAAAAATACTCCAGGCACCTGACACACCCGGGGCAGGCTGGAGAGCAGGGCATACTGGCATACAGGCCACAGCATGGGTCTTGCCGGCTCAAATCTGACCTCGCTGTGTCTCTCTGTCCTTGTGAGAAAGACAACACTAATGATGCATCTACTTCCCAGAGGCCCGGAAGGATCTAGTGACCTAACACACGTGATCACATCACGGCACAGTGCTGGGAACACAGCAAGCACTGCACCACGGGGTCAGCTCAGGACACGCAGTCCTGCAGACAACTGATGACAGCAGGAGGAGACGCCAAGCGGCGGAGAAGTCTGCGGGGAAGAATGAGGAGTCTGGGTCGCCTCCTGAGGAACACCTGGACTTTGGATCAAGTTTGCACAGGGGAGGGGAAGATCAAGGGTGCTCTAGGGAGGGAAGACTGCCGGGCCACCAGGCAGTGTGTGCGTACGTCAGGGAAGGTGGGCTGTGAATGGGTGAAGCCAGAGGCAGACCTGGTCGCACTGACAGGGACAGAAACATCATGGGAGAGTAACAGCAAGATGTTTCTGAGGGCTGGGCATGGAGAAGGCTGTATGTAACAGGTAAGATAGGCTGAAGACCTTGCTTTTTAACTTTCGTATGATAAGCAGTCTGAAGGGTTTTAAGCGAGGAAGCAAGACAATCACATGATGAAACAGTGGTGTGAAAATCTGTGTCCCGCCACATGTCATGGAGACAGACACAGCGGTTGACGTACATTACCCCCCAGGGCTGGGATTCCTCAGATATTTTTTGCCTTCTGTTTGTTCCTCTGTATTTTCTAGTTTTCTACAATGAACACACATTGCTTACAGAATTCAAAAAGTAGTAAACACTGTAAATAATTAACAGGCTCTCTCTTTAGGACTGATGTTGGATGGATGCACTTTCAACCCAGTTATTGCAAACATTTGCTGGATGGCAAGCTTACAGGGGTACCAGTGAAACACACAGGTAACGGAGTCCTACAGGGTGGGCTTGCGAGCCATGAAGTCAGTCCTTTATGAAATTACAGATCCTACAAAAGGGACTCCTCTTCCTAGAGCTCAGAGAAGCCCCGCAGGTCCCATGTCTAGTCATTGGGGTTTAACTAGGTCCAGCTTTCACCTGACCCCACCATGTCTGAAAGGGGTGGGGTTAACGCACATCCTACCTTTTGGGACTGATCCTCAGTTTTTTCTGCCTGCCGTTCCCTCGGGTCATCCTTGCCCTCCTGCGAGGCAGGCCTTTCTTCTGTTCTGGGTCCAACGTCCGGTCCTGGGACCTCATTCTCGAGACTGCCAGGCAGGAGAGCTGAAAACAGCAGGCGTGTTAGCAGTGTACCGCGCAGCCCTCACGGCAGGCCTGGCTCTCTGAAGAGCTCTCTTCCTGCAGACCGGGTGCCATCGAAGGGACTCAGACACAGCAATGCGGGAGTGACAAAGCACCTGCTCCCATGAGGGTTCCAACTAGGTGCCTGCAGGATGTACCTGGATGGAACCTTCTGGAACCCTGCCTGGGCTGGCTCCCAGAGAAAAGCCCAGACCTCCTGTAAGGCCTCGGGAACACCTGGGTTGGTGTCACCCTCCCAGCCCTCTTCTTGGAGGGAGGCGGCCTAAAAGCTGGACTTGGGTTTCCCCTCTCAGTCCCACTGCTTTCTGGATGAGCAAAGGGCTGCACCACCCTCTGACCCCACCTGGAGAAAAGCAGGACAGCTTGCCAGGCTCAAACGCTAGACATCGCTCATGCAGTTCAGTCAGAATTGAGACCCCAGAACAGGCAGGACCGGGGTGTGATTAAGCCTTTGAGGCACGGGTGGCTCATTCTGGAGACAGGGCCAGACACCTATTATCTGGTCACCAAGGAACAGCGTGCTAGAGCCACTGTACTGGGTGCTAGGTCTGGATCTGATGATGGTAATTATGCTCCAACCCGGGGTATTGACTATATCCCTCTAAGGGTTTTATTTTTGCTTTGCTTCCTTTTGTTTTGTTTTGTGGCCTGGAGTCTATCACTCAATAAAAGTTTTTGCTTCTGTTACCAGGAAGCTCAGCACTAACCTTACATCTCTTTATGAACAATATCTCACCCAGAATCTATGGTGCAATAATTCCTTACTCTGAAACTTATTTTTCCATGATTTGCTTTTGTCTGTGCGTAAAGTCTTTATTATTTCCCTCCCTAGGTATGGCAGTCCCAGCCTCCCTTGGGAGGAGGCTGAGCAGACGGAACAGGAGCAGCTGCTAGTCAAGAGGGTTTCATGCATGCTTTCTCAGCCCACCACACTGGACAGAGCTGGGGTTACCTGGGACGTCTGTGCCGGCCTTCCTTCTCCTTCTGCTCCTCCTCCTCCAGCTCCTCCAGGGCCCACGCTGGTATGGCCGCCACTGTGCAGGGTCCGGGTATCAGGACCTCCATCCCGGAGTCTGCCGCCAGGGAAGTGCAGAGCAGAGTACACGGAAGCAGCCTTCTCCTTCTGCTCCTGGGGCAGGGGCAGGCTGCGTCTCAGGCAACACCACGTGAGCTGGGGCTCAGCCTTCAGCGAGGGGAAGCGACTTTGGGCCCCACAGCTCCTGGGAGTCCCTAAATCAGGTGACAGAGACAGTTCTGACTGGCTCGAGGACAAGGGCTGTGGCCTTGTGAGGGCCTTGAGGAAGGAGACAGGCTGGATGGAGCCGTAGGGATTGAGCTTTGAGGGATGGTCTTCTGGAGCATTCTCAGGAGGCCCCTGAAGCTCCCCGATGCATGCCTGGGACTTCAGGGCACCCCCAGAGGTTATAGCCGTTCTTGATGTGCTGCCTGTGCAGGGGTGACAGGTGGCATAGGTCTGACCCCCACTGCCTTGGACTATGAGGGAGTCCGTCCCCTGAGGGGCCCCTGTGGCTGAGCCTGGAGACACCCTGGATGCTGGCACTTGGGCGCCGCTCTCCTCTCCCTGCTTTTCTCTTCCTGCTGGCCTCTCGTTCTTTCCATCCCTCGCCCTGGAGCAGCTGGGCTCTTCCAGGCTGCTGTGTACCTCACTGGGGACCGGGTCTGGGGCTGGGCTAGGAGACCAGGGAGTCTTGGGTGGCCCAGCTGTGCAGAGAGAGTGCTGGCCTTGCGTGGACACCAGGGGCACAGACAGCAGGGAGGGGACGGCTCCCTGAGGTAACCTGAGGAGGTACTTGGGAAGAAAGCTGCTGTCTGCCGTAGGCGAGAAGGCGCCAGGAGCCTGAGGCTGGGTGGCCAGCTGGGAATGCTGCCCGGGGGCAGCGGAGAAGGTGCCAGAGGATGCCAAGTGATCGGCCACCCTTTCGGCATTTTCCCGGGGCAGCCCTGCTGTCTCCCCCGGGTCACTGTCCCGTCTCTGGGAGGTCACAAAGGCACACTGGGCAGAGCCGCCTGGAGTGTCTGCTCCCAGAGGCCCCAGCTGCTTCTGGGGGCTCATCCCCTCCACCTTCAGCTTCTTCCTTTCTGAGGGGAGTTTGTCCTCTGCTGGCCAGGACTCCCCAGAGCCACCCCCAGGCCTTCTCAGGATGGCTGGAGCCCGTGGGCACGTCTCTACTACACCCCCACCCCCAAGAGCCCCCCCTTCAGGCTGGAGGTCTGACACAGCTGGCCCAGGAGCTCCCAGGTCGCCTTCATGGAGGAACCCAGGTACAGAGGGCGGCTGCCACCTCGGTTCTGGCTGCCCAGTTGGAGGAACTAGAGGGCTCCTGTTGCCTGAACCAGGGCTGTCTCTGCTGCCAAGGGTGGGGGATGACCCAGCCCTGGCCATCCTGAGCTGGTCGCTGCCTCCTGCTCCGGCCACTGTCCTCCCCTGTGTAGGGGACTCAGTCTCTAAGGAGCCCTCCGGAGCTGGCAGACTCCCCCGGGACCCTGGCTTGGCCTCTATAGAAACGTCCCCAAGCATGGCTGTCCCACTGTCATGAGACGGGGCTGCACCCCTGGACCCTGCTGCCTCTTTCTGTGGAGGAGGGTCCAGCTCCGTCCCATGGACTGCTTGCCCATCCCTGGCTTTTTGCACTCCTTGATGGCTGGCTTTCGTTTTCTGGTAGATTCTCTTGAACGTCTCATGGCCGTACACCTGCCACTTCTCCTGGGAGAACATCTTCGGCTTCCTCTGGCCGCACTTCCTCCTGGCCACTCTGGCCCTGCAGGGTACTCCTTCCCCTGAGGCGACTGTCTTGCCACCCAGGTCCTCTGCGGGGGCCATGGGCTCTCCAGTGGAGGTACAGGGCATGTCCTCCACAGCAGCCTGTCTCACCAGGGCCCGGGGGTGGCCGCTGGGGATGTCTACCAAGGTCAGCCTGGAGTGGTCACTCAGTCGGACTGGGGCCAGCCTGGGACTCAGCGGCTGCTGCATCCTGGGGCAGGTGTCCTGCAGGTCTCGGGGCTCTGGCCACGTGCTAGAGGCCTCAACAAAAGGCAGCGAGTTGCTCCTGGTGACAGGAACATATTCCACAGTGGCGGAGAGCTGAGTGGGCACGGAGTGGAAGAAGAGGGGCCTCGACTTGTCCGGAGCCGAGAAGGTAGAGGAGGCAGGGCCGAGGGCAGCCCTCCTGCGGCCAGGCTCCAGTGCCCGGATGTCAAAGTGGAAGGAGTCCTTGTAGGTGTAGGGCATGGGCAGGTCAATGCTGCCCTGCTTGGACAGGACGGTCTTGCGGGGTCTCACGTGGTCCAGCTGGGGGTCATCCACCACGGCCTGGTTGTGAGAGATGAGCCGGGCAATGCGCTCCTCCAGCCGTTTCTTCTCCAGCTCCAAGCTGGCCCCTGATGCAGGGGGCTCGGCCCTGCTGTGCCCAGGCCCCGGGCCCGGGCCTCCCTCCCCCTCGGACTCTGCACTGTGCTCCGACAGGCTGTGCAGGGGGCTGGAGGGCAGCGGTGGCTGCTCCACGCTATCTGAGCGGGACAAGTAGCCTGAGTCGGTGCTCTCGCACTTCCTCAGCCGGCCCTCGGAGGCCTTGGCGTCCCAGGGCTTCTCCCCGGACACCTCCTGCTGCCGCTGCAGGGAGCATGGCTTTGGTTCTAGAAGCTTCCTCCAGGGCTGCATGCTGGCCAGCGGGAGCCCAGGTGACACCATCTGGGAGGAGTCTGTAGGGGCTTCTCTGTGAGCAGGTGTGGACCCTAGGCGGGGAGCAGATTCTGCCTTCACATCTGGGTTCTTGACCCCAAGGGACAGATGGGCACCTGGGGAAAGAGGCCTTCCTGGTGCTGCATCACCCGCTCTCTGGTTCCAGCTTTCCTGCCTACTCTCTGCTGCAGAGGGCTCTTCAGCCCTGTCCCCATCCTCCAACACGCTGCTCCCGCCCGCCTCAGACTCCAAGGACAGCCGGGAGTTATTGAGATGCGTCTGTGTCCTCCTGTGCTTATACAGATTGCTCTGGGTCTTAAAGGCAATGCCACAGGTGACACAGGGAAAGGGCCTCTCCCCTGTGTGGGACCGGATGTGCTTCTCCAAAACACTGGGCTTCAGGCAGTCCCGGCCACAGTGTGGGCACAGGTACCTGCCAGCATTCCGAACCTTGCCTGGGCTGCCCAGAGTGGGCCCCAGACCCGGGGACAGGACAGGCAGGGTGCCCACAATGTTCACTGTCAGGGCTGGGGTGGCTGGCTTGCCCACCTGGGTGGGCCCAGGCCCTTCAGGCTGCAGCAGGGGACTGAGGATGAAGGGCACACTGCCCCCATCCAGGCTGCCTGTCACCAGCGGGGCACGTGGCTGGAGGCCCCCAGGAGGCACTGTATGGTACAGCGGGATGGGCAAAGCTTTCAGGATCATGGTAGGGGGCAGGCCCTGCTCTGAAGGCAGGATGATGGGCCCCAGGGTCAGACGAGGAGAGGCCTGCCCACTTGGGGCCCCCAGAGGGCCAGGGGTAGGAACTGTCTGGTCCCTGGCAGCTGGAGCAGGGCAGGTGGGTTCTGGAGCCTCCATTCCACATCATCTGCACAGCCCAAGAGGTCAGGCAACCTGCAGGAGACAAGCACAGTTTACCACCGCTACCTTTCTCCCCGTCAGTGAAAACTCCCCTGACCCTGCTGGGCATTTCACGCACCCTGACAGCCATCCACAAGTGCTCTTGTCCCCAAGTCAGCAAAGAGGAAGCTGAGACATGGCCTGCCATGTGGTAGCTACACGGCAAAATAGAGCTCGTACCCAAGCCTCCTTGAAGCCTGTCTTTTACTTCCTTCTTTTCAAGATCTGTAAGATGGACAAGGAATCAGGCTCTTCCCATGCTGGGATTCTGAGTTTCTGCTATAGGATAAGAGCAGTGAAAAACAAAACTGACCTCAGAGGAGGCTTGCCAGGTTTAGCAAACAAAAGCACAGGATTCTCAGCTACACTTGACTTTGACTTAAACCATGCATAGTTCTTTTGGTGTATCATCAGTGTGTCCCAATTAGTGTGAGAATTACTGTTCCTGTAAATATATATGTCTCGAATCTTTCATACTAATATGAAAATACTGTACATGACTTATCTAAAATTCAAATGTAACTGGGAGCTCCATCTTGGATCTAACGATGCTCCCAGGTAATGACCTCTTTGTCAGCTTCAGGACAAGGCTTGGATTCCCGCATGCAGGCAGAACTTCTAGAGCTCCTTGAGACCTAGTTGGGATGAAGTTGGTCACCTTGAAGCCAGAAGGAGCAGCTGTGCACATACTAGGAGGAGAGAGAGAGACAGACAGAGAGGGACAAAGGGAGCTGGCCATAGTCTTTAAGTCACAAAAGGAAAGCCAGATACAGCAGTACATATTGAGCAGGACGGTGCCTATAGGGTCGGCAGGCACCCATCCTCCCAGAGCTCCACAAGCAAACTTCACTCATCCTCCAGCTCAGCTCCTTTAAAGGAAACCTCCAAATCCCAGCCCTCAGTGGCCACATAGTCCAAGCAGTGTTTGGTAAAAGCAGCAGCATGGTGGGGCCAGTTCACACCACCGAGGCCTCCACACAGCTGACTATCAAATTTCCAGGAATTTTGCAGACTGCGTGTGAAATGTGGTCCCTAACTCAAAGTTAAGTTACACTCACTTATAATTAAGTAAATTATATTAAAATCAAAGCTACAAAAACTGGATATATACATGCAAAAAAAAAAAAAAAAAGAAGAAGTTGGCCCCCTACCTCACACTATATGCAAATTTAATTCAAAATGGGTAACAGACCCAAGTGAAAACTACAAAACTCTGACAAAAAGACATAAGATTAAATTTTGGGTCAAACTTTGGGTTTAGCAATGGGTTCTAATAATGGCTATGAAACCAGAAACCCAACCAGCAAAAGAAAAAAAAATAATTTTCGATTCAAAATTAAAACTTTTGTACAAAAGGGAACTCTCAAGAAAGTGAAAAGATGCAGAAAGGGAAAAAAAATGTTTGCAAATCACATATCTAATATATCTGGAATGTATGAAGAACTCTTGTCACAAAAAAACTCCAAGCAACCCAATTTTAAAATGAGCAAAGGATTTGAGTAGACATTTCTCCAAGGAAGACAAACGATCGTGCCCTAAGCCCATGAGAAGACACACAATACTATTAGTCACTGGGGAAATGTAAATCAAAATTACAATGTAATCTGACTTCACACCAACTAGTACCACCACAGTAAGAATAATAAGCTGGAAATAATGAATGTTGGTAAGGATTTAGAGAAATTGAAATCTTAAACACTACGAACAGGGAAAAATGATGTAGCCATTCTGGAAAATAGTTTGGCGGTGCCTCAAAAAGTTAAAGCAGATATGCCTGTAATTCAACCTGCAGTATATACCCAAATGAATTGAAAAAATGATATTCAGGTTTGTACACAAAGACGTGAGGAGAGTGGCTCATTCAAAATAGTTAAAAGGTAAAAATGACACAACTGTCCATCAGCTGACCAGTAGATTAGCAACATGCAGACACAGAAGTCCTATTCAGCCACAAGGAGGAAGAAAGCACTCCTGTAGAGAGGAACCTTGAATTCATTATGGTGAGCGAAAGAAATCAGACCCAAAAGGTTATATAGTGCGTGATTGCATTTGCATAAAAAATCCTGGAACAGGCAAAGCTATACAAGTAAGAACAGATTACAGCAGTTGCCAGAAGATGAGAGAGAATGAGGCATGAACATTTAATTTGGGTTCAGGATTTTCTTAAGGATAATGAAAGTTTTGGAACTAGATAGAGGTGGTAGTTGCAATGTGTGTACTAAATGCTACTAAACTGTTCTTTAAAATAGTCCAGACAGTGAATTTAAGGTTCTGTGGGGTTTTACCTCAATATAGAAAGATGCTGGCTCGGAGCAAAGCACAAAAGCATTGTCTTTCTTGAGTAAAAGTACTCAGAGGACAGAAAGGTATTTTAAGGCTTCTACAGCAAAAGGTACCCTATCCTGGGCGACAAGTTTATTTCTCACAGTACTGGAGGCGAAGAGTCTAAAGTCAAGGTACCAGCAGATTGGGTGTCTGTGACAGCCCGCCTCTAGCTTATAGGTAACACCTTTTTGCTGCCTCCATCTACCACAGAAGAGGCATAAAGCTCTCTTGAGCACTACAAGGGCACTAATCTAACTCATGAGGGCTCCCCCCTCATGACCTAATCACCCTCAGCTCCAAACACTGCAGGTGAGAATTTCATCGAACACAAACAACAGGGAACACAAACAACAATCCATAACGGACATTAAACACTCCCGTACTCTGGAGGTGGCTTCTATGGACGGTGCCCGCATGGTGAGTTATTAGGAATAGCACAGGACTCTACATCTCCCTCTCCTCTCCATTCCAAGGTAGATGCATTGCTTGAACTGGCCGTGGTAGGTGTATTGACACCAAAGAAATTGGCGAATGCTACCAATCAGTTTTCTTGTAATCCTGAGAGCTGGTTTCAACACTGACCAGGACACCTCTGATATAGAAGAGGACCAGGGGGTCATCTCCATCTCCATTGTGTTTCCTTCACACAAATATCTGGCCAGCATAATTGATCTCACAGCACCAGGCCATCTGAAAAAGGCCCTGCCTCAAGAAATCTGAGAGCTTATGGTTTTTGAAGAAAAGATCAACAGGCAGAAATCTCTAGAAAGAGAAATAAGCAGCTGCTAGAACCCAGCAACACTGATAGATATGGATGATGCAGACTCCCTTAAACTAGCTGAGGACCTCCAAAAACAGTCCCCGGGATGGCCGGCCTGACAGCCCGTCCCTATGCCACCATTTAAGACTTCGTTTCCTTTGGCTCTAGGAATAGCATAATTATGGCTGAGCTACCGGGAGGAGCAGATGAAATAATTTATGTGCCCAGCACAAGATAAGTGCTCAGTTTCTCTGAGTTTTCAATAACACGCCATAATATTTTGAACTATTAACTAACAGTTCCTCCTCCACCCGCTTTTCCTCCTACCCTGTCTCTTCCCCCATCAGTGAACGCAGCAGGCTCCGTTCACCGCCTCTGGGAAGGGAGGTCTCAGGTTGGGTTCCCGGGTTCCCCGTTACATTTGGGAGGAGATCCCGGGCAACATTCAGTGGGGAGTGGGAAGGAGGACCAGGCTGGAGGCAGCTGGGGTGCATACGTAATCCCTCAGGCCCCCACCATGGGCAACTGGAGTTTAATCCCACGGGGACAGTGGACCCAGAGCTGCTGCATGGGCCACTTGTGGCACCTGCACTCCTGAGTTTGCACCCAGTCACGTGAGAGCTGGAGGGAGCTCTGGGGCCTCAGCTTGGTGCTGCCTGCAGTGGCTCTGAAGTGGTGACCAAGGGGACCCCTAGCAGGGTTTCTGTGAGAGCCCCTTTGTCAGAAACAGAGTCAAGACCTCCGAATTCCAGAATCCTAAGCGCTAAGGAAAGCAATCTGAGGAACCCGAGCCAGGTTTTGGAATCCTCAGGTTCTGGGGTCCCCAGGAGGAGAAGAAGTGGCTGGGTGGGAACAAGAATTAAGGGGAGGGGTGCTCCTCAGCCTCCATGAGGAATTGAGGGTGAGATGACTGGGACTCCATTCTTGGGGAGTCTACAAAGAGTGGGGTTCGGACAAATCACCCACAGCCAAACTCAGGGCAGGGGTGGAGGCAGCCCCCAGTGTGAGTCCCAGAGACCCCACGAGGGCCCCAAGACTGACCAGAAAGTGGGTAAGAACTAAGAGACACCACCTTAGGGAGTCTTGCAGAAACTTGGTGGAGAGTTGAGTCTAGCGTTCCATGCCCCATGCAAACCTAAGCCCTTCATCGGGCAGAGGTGTGGGAAGAGAAGACAGCTGGTTCTCCAAGAGTGGGAGGCTTGGGGCTTTTGAAACAGGAAGTTCAGAGAAAGAGCACTAGGTCCCATCACACCTGCCACCACATCTGTTGTCTCTCTCTGCAGCCTGCTCTGTGACTAGAGTAAACCCAGGCCTGTTAGTAATAGCTGATCCCTACAAGCTCACGGCTTCCTCCGATGAATGGCACTTTTTGTCAGAAAACCTCCATGGCCCACAGCTAAGTTTGCTTTTCTCTGAGTCCAGGATGGCAAGTTGTATTGTCTCCACTGGACTGATGGGGATTCTAAGGATTAAGAAGACAAGGAAGGGTCCTGAATAACCATCTGGTCACCTAGGGTCAAGTGCCCACCCTGTCACCATCCCACCACTCCACCACGCAGAGAACAAGATGGATTCTTTTACCCCACCAGGCATGCTCATCAGCCCCCCAGGCCCCCAGTCTGGTCATATTCTCCAACGCAAATGTACAACTTCCCGGAGGAGAAATGATCCCATAGGAGGGAGAAAAACAAAGGAAAGAAATGGTAACTTTCAAAACTTTATCACAACCAACCTCTAAGTGGGCCTGGGCAGGCAGTTGAAATGTTGAAATGCCACAAACAGATTTTACAAAGTCATAGTCAGGGTCCTGGAAGAAAGACCATGGTAAATGCACTGTTCATATTGAATAAATTCACTCTTGTGGAAGGAGCTGGATGCAAAGACGCTGCTTTTGCTAAGGCCCTCCAAA